TCCACCCCTCACTGGGGGCTCCTGGGTGCCCCCTGCGCTCGCCGTTTCCTTGGCAGGTCTCCCATCCCTGCTCTGAATTAGCTCCACAATGACCGGGCTCCTCCTGCCGCAGGATATTGCCCCATGTACAGATCAGGGCTGTGCCACTGCAGGCCTGGAGCAGACAGTCCCTGGGGGGGGAGAGGGGAGGTTAACTGACCTGGAGGCTCATGTGTTGAGAGGAGAAGCTGTGGGATGAGTGGGCCCAGCTCAGTGCAGTTAAACCCAGGCCTGAGCTCAGCTGTGCTGTAGCAAAGAACAGAATCCCTTCCTGTGTCCCCTTGGCCGGGGGCTCCTGCCAGCCAGCCCCGCGATCTCAGCTGGCAGGTTAAGAGGAAGAACCAAGGTAGCAGACGCGTGGGGCTAGAGGATCAGAGTTGGAGCAGCGCCCCAGCCTGCCTGGGGCTGGGTTCCTGTGTCGCCCGAGCACAACCACCCTGGCTGAGACTGGCCTGGCCTGGCCTGCAGGCTCTAGCATCCACCGCTTCCCCTTGAGGGTCCTTTCTTAGACACGATCCTGTCCGGCGTTAACCGGGGGGCAAAGGCTCCGTCTGCTCAGCCTCCCGGCCCCTCTCTCTGCAGACAACCAGCTGAAGGTCTGGATGAGCAAATATGGCTGGACAGAAACGGAGTCGGGCAAGATCTTCATCTGCAACCAGGAGGAGAGTATCAAACCCAAGAACATAGTGGAGAAGATCGACTTTGACAGTGAGTGCCGTGCGCCCGCCTGGGCTCTGTCAGGCCCCTCGCTGGGGTCACCCAGCTCTCACTGGCCCTAGCGGGGGCCTTGCTGGAGTGAGGACTGCATGTGGAATCCGGCAGTGGCTATTAATCAGTGGGTGGGGGGAATGGATCCATTGAGCGGGGGTCAATTTCCATCCTTCCTCTGTTCGCAGGTGTCTCCAGCATCATGGCTTCCTCCCAGTGATGGGGCCACACCGCCCTCCTCGCTGCTCCATGTGAACTCGCTCGGGGGTTCTGTTGTTCGGTTCCCTTTTTAACGCCAGTGCAACCTCGGCCAATAAAAGCGCGTCGTTGACCTTGCCTCTGGCCCGTCTCCTTTCTTCTCCGTGCAGCCTTGAACCTGGGGACCTGGGGCTGCTGATTGGCGCTAAGAGTAGGCAGGGAGCTTGTCGGCCAGGTGGCTCCAAGCAGCAGGGTAGGAGGGCAGGGAACAAGGGAGGCCGCTTTGGGGCTGAGAAAAGGGCTCTGCCCCATCTGTGCTACCCTTGTCCTGTCTGCCTGGAGAGACCCCACTGAGAGCAGAACTCAGTCTGAGGCCGTGTGGGCCTGTGCCCCCGTGTGAACACAAGGGGGCCATTAGTGGCAGGGGTGGCGAGGTGGACACAGCAGCTGCCCATCACTGCCCACTGGCACTCGGGAGGGGAGAACTGAATGTGGGGGTGGGAAGTGAAGGCTGGTAGCTTCCTACAGCCAGCACTAGGCTACAGGGGGTGCCTGCCGTCCGTCTTCAGGCAGAGACGGTCTGTTCTGCGTTGCATGGTAGCCTTAGGCGCTGTGTGACACACCTAATATCAATGCTCCTTACCGCCCTACGCTGCAAACGAGAGTGAATGGAGAAGTGGGTGTCGAGGGCTGCGCAGCTGGGAAGAGAACCCAGCAGTCCTGCTCCCCTTCTCGGGCAGGGCTCACGCCGTCAGCAGGGGTTTCACGCTGTATCCGGGGCCTGGGGCTGAACAGCCTGTGGAAGGAAGCGGCCGGAGCCATTTCCAGTGAGGGGTAAAGGGGAGGCAGCGTCTGGTGCTGCTCCCACCTGCCCCCTGGGCTGAGTGCCAGTGGGGTTCTGGCTCCCTTGCCCTGCCGTGGTGGTCTCCTCCTGACTGCTAGGTGGTACCGACCATCCACCAAATACAGGACAAGCTGGGGACAGCTGGATCATCGTCTCCTTGGGGAGCTGGGGCAGCG